GTTTTTATCACAGTTATCGCAGATATGTAGTTTCTCTGAATTCTAAGGATTTTATGAATTCTCCTGTGAGCATGTTTAGCCTTGAATAGAGCTTTTGGAATGTCTTTTCCATTCCCTAAAGTGAGAGCCAATTAGAATCTTTGTAACAATAAATCATATCAAAAGATACAGAACCCAAGACCACCCAGGATCATTCATTGGTAAGTAAGCTTCCTTGTGAGAATCCAATCGAACATTTCAGAAAATTCAGTTTCATTTTCTCCAGCACTTTGACAAAAGTACCACTCATCAGTTACTTGTCACTCAAGAGTCCCAGCAGCCATCCCAAAGGATGTATAGTTTGTGCTGTCCTCCAGACTTCTTCACTGTCACGCTGGAGTGTATAATAATGGCCCACCTTGTAGTGAACTCCTACTCTGTGCCAGGAAGCATACCAGGCCCTCTACATGACCTCTAATACTCCAACCAAACCTATTAGGTGTTAGTATCTTCATTTGACAATGGGGAAATGGATGCTCAGTGTGAATAAGCAACTTCTCCAACATCAAACAGCTGACAAGTGCCAAGGTGCCATAGAGTTCCAAGATCCATGTTCTTTTTACAACCTGCACTAAGACAGCACAAAGCTTTAGGCTCTGAAGGAAAAGGCATCACTGCTCTGGAAATATTCACCATCCTCCTCCCCAAAAGGCTCACCTGCTCTAATGAAAAAAACATGCATTCTGAAGAAAGGCTACCACCTCACCTCTCACTAGTTTGTATCTATTGCAAAACCACTTGCAGGTGTTGCAATATTAAAGAGTAATTTCTCTTTGCAGGACCTATTTATACCCTAGCTGGCTTGTTGATGTGTCAGTCTAACAACAGGACATTTTTGTTTTACTAAGCAATTTGGGGTGTGAGCAGTTAAGTTTGGGGAGAGCCATACTGCTCTGCATAACAAGAGGAAAAGAATTTATAGCAATAGAGTTTGAGGAAGGCAGGGGGAGGACAAGGAACCAAGTGACAGAAGCACTTAGGCTTCAAGATGTGACACCATGCCATAACTCCCTCAGCTTCAGATAATCAAATGAAAATTGGCAAATGTACAGTACAGGTGAATTTCTCATGGAAACAAATGAAAAGGGACACCAACATATCATGTTGATAGGAGCAGGAGAGCCCCAAAGCAAAGGGTATCTTGATAATATAATTATTCCACAATTCATAGAATTCTGAAGCTTGCTTTGTTTGGTTCCAAAAAATTGAGAGAAGAGTTTCTCAAAGCAATTTCATGTGGCTCTTCAGAGAGGGCTCTGGCTGACATCTGGGAGACACATTTGCACATGGGGATTTAAATTAGTAAACTGAAGGTCCTTGTGGAACTTTCCACAGGAAAGCAACAAGAACCTTTTTTACCCAACTTTTTTTTTTCTTAAAAAATTCTTTAAAAAAAATTTTTTTAAAGTAATCTCTACACCCAGTGTGAGGCTTGAATCCACAAGATCAAGTCACACATTCTTCTGACCAAGCCAGCCAGGTGCCCCTCTCTTACCCAACTTTCACTCTCACTTGCAATTAAAGGAAGACAGCAAACATCTTAAACAAAATATTAGCAACAAAACCCAGATATAGTCGAAATTTTTTTACAATATTTGCAATGTCTGAAACATCTAGAGGATTTGTATGAGGAATAAACAGCTAGGTTTTCCAAATCAACTAGGAAAAGACATGAAATTCAATAGAAAAATAGAATATTCACAGAATATTCACAAATGGTTGACAAATACATAGAGAGATGCCCTGCCCTCATTTGTAATCAGAAGTAGGAAAGCTGATGCCATTTCATATTCAAAAATTGGGCAGCCAGAAAATATCTAGTGTTAACAAGAATATAAGAAGATGAGCACGTCGTCTTCTACTAATAAGAGTGTAAACCGGCCCACTGCAGCTCTCCTAGAGTTGATGGCTCTGCACAACCAGGATTCCGTTCCCGGGGAACACCCTCAACCTCACACGGATCTATAAGCATTCTTATCCTAGCATCACAGACCTTGCAATACCAGAGAATTGAGTTCAGGTGAGGAAGGAGAAGAAGAATATTGGGTGGAAGGCCACCCATCATGGAAATCACTGCAGCATCAGAAACACTGGACTAGAATCGCATATAGAAACAGTTAGGAAACACCATACTAGGTATGCCAACTAAACACAGATAAATGAAACACCATGTGTTTTACATGAGATCGTATGTGACCAAGGACATGTACCAAACACATTAGACTAGGTGCCCATGTAGAAGAGATGAGAAAAAAATGAAATAAAACAGGAGGAAGGCCGTAATAGGCTGATGATTTTAACCCTCATGAAATGAAGAATGATTATCTCAAGACCCTGCACCTGTGGTCCCACAAAATCTTGCCAGGTTTTAATCATCCCTTTATTATCTCCTCCCTGAGTTACCCCTCTGTAAAAATGGACCTTGTATGGTCAAGTAACAGAATTCTGGTGAGGCACACAATCTATTGCCTCAGAATCAGGGAGATGAGATCAAAAGTGGCTCAGAGATGAGGAGAGGAAGAAAAGAGAGAAAGATGTAAACCATCTTGGTCGATGAACAGTCTTCCAGCTGCAGAACTGTGTTTCCAATCACCAATATCACATGTGAAACTCCACCGTGTTAGGAAAGAGAGAAAAGGCTCTGGTTCAATCACTGTGCTCACATCGCCACCCCAAGGATGCCTGGCAAATCCTTATCTGGACAGATAGCTAAACCTCCATCAGAGTTCTAGAAACGTCTCATCTAGAAATCCTGGCATTTATAAGCCTCATCCAGGGTGATAATGGGTGAGTAAACTTTATTTAAAAGGCCAAGAGGGATCTCTGGGTGGCGCAGTGGTTTGGCGCCTGCCTTTGGCCCAGGGCGTGATCCTGGAGACCCGGGATCGAATCCCACGTCGGGCTCCCGGTGCATGGAGCCTGCTTCTCCCTCTGCCTGTGTCTCTACCTCTCTCTCTCTCTCTCTCTCTCTCTCTCTCTCTCTCTGTGTGTGTGTGTGTGTGTGTGTGTGTGTGTGTGTGACTATCATAAATAAATAAAAATTTTTTAAAAAAGGCCAAGATAGAGCCACGAAGTCTCCTGCGTATCTGTTGAGTGTCTGTAGAGAGACAGGCCCTAGGATCTAAGGCTGTGCTGCCCAGGACAAGAACGAGGAGATGGCCTTTTGCTGCCACTACTCCTTCTTTAAGAAATTAACAAGTTAACAAGTTAACAAATTAACAAGATTCTTTTATTTTTATCAGCTTGGTACTGAATATTCAATGTTTGGGCCACATAAGTGGGTAAAGCAAATTTAAACTAAACTTTCCATCTTTTCCAAGTTCTTCTAATTCAGAGGGCTTATGAGACAGGACCCAATCCACTTCATATGGGGAATGATCCAAGAAATTAGGAATATTTAGCCTGTAGAAGACATGTCATTCTAGCTCAGATCCAAGATATTTGCCAGGTAGAACAGGACATCAGTTAGTTTTGTGCTGCTTCCAAAGAGCATAGCCAGGATTGATGAGTTACAGTACTCAGGAGTCAATATCAGCTCAAAAGAAGGAAGAATTATGTCACAGTTAAACCGTCTACAAGTAGAAAGAGAGAGTTCCTGACCACTCTAGATGTTTAAGCAAACACTAAATTCTTACCTAACGACAAGGTAGTAAGAAGACTAGACGTGTTGGAGCAAATGACCTCTCAGATCTGCACCAGCACCAGGTCACATCATGACCATGTCCTCAGGGGTCTGCTCCCCATACTCACTCATGTTTTAGGCTGTTCCTCATGCTGTATTTTAAGTTTTTTTGAGGAGGGGTGTCTATAGATTGTTTATTAGAGGTGGAGACAGAGCTGTCCTCTGACGCACCTCCCCCCCCCTTGCCGCCTCCCACCACCCCTCGAGCCTCACAGGATCTCAGGCTGCAGGTCCTCCGGGGATCCCAGTCTAAAGCCTACATCTGTTTCTTAGCTCATATCATCTTGGGTTCTATGCACACACACACACACACACACACACACACACAGATACACACACATATACATATATATACATATATACCTGATGGCAGATTTTTCATAAATACTCCATCTGCTGTAAATATTGGTTCCTCTGAGTTTTAGAAACTTAGTGCAATGTATTAAAATCAAGTGTTAGGAAATTTCATGGCCTCACCTATAACAACTTTTGTTTTGGAATTGGACTATTATTAAATTGTATCTAACTCTGGACTATATTTAACTATATTCAGTACTTCTTAAGGCTTCATAAAGTAATTTTTCCAAAAAAAATTCATGGAAACATGTGAGATGAACCTCAGTTAGATACGACTTCTAATGCCACTTACTTTTAATGTATAATCATTCTCTACAAAAGCAGATGAGCCAGTAAAATAAAGTCTACCATCTGTCTCTCTGTTTTTTTTTTCAACAATCATCCTACTGACTCCTGAGAAAACCTTCCCTGTGCTGCCATGAATCAGACAGGCTGATTTGAAACCATTACCAGAGAGAATGATGTGTCAGAATCAAAGAGCAACTCTAAGTGAGATAAAATATAGCAAATAAATTCTAGGATAGTCTGACACACTGGGAACATTATGTTGCCATTGGTTCATCAAAATTATGTCAAACATTGCCGTTGTTATTAAGTCTCCATCATAACATGAATCTCATTTTAATCGCCCCTGGTTGAGACTCTGAACATTGGTTGTCTGCCCAGGCACGAATTTATTTTAACCAAAATTAGTCTTAATCAGCTTGGCTTCAGTAATGTAGCCCTCCACACTCCACCCCCCACCCCGCAAAAAAAAAAAAAAAAAAAAAAAACCATACTGGGAGACAGTGTGAGAGGCCTTTCCAACAATTCATAGATTAGAAAAGATCAGAACTTTAAAAAAAAATATTTTCCAAGGGATTAATCCCTCTCCTACATTTCAAAACTTTTATTCAGCATTAATGTTAGCAAAAGCCATGAATGTCCACTGTGGAAAGGAATCTGGAGAATAAAAAATATAGTGTGGACAATCACCTTCTAATAGAACGGGGGGGGGCGTTTTATTTTGAGGTTCTGCTGTAAGTTCCTAGCTTCTTCAATGTGGGTGCCGTGTGAGGCTGGAGAGCTGAGAAGACACCTTATTTTGAAAGTCTATCAAAAGTGGGCCTGATTAGATTCTGACCACTCCAAATTACCATGGATTATGGCAAGACTGAAAATGAGCTGATGTAACTTTTTCTTCCAAAATAGTGATTACAAGTCACATATTTACAAGGATTGATGACACCCAGCTTGTCGTAAAAACATTTCAACTGCAATCAGCCTCATCATCCCCAGGAACTGTTTCATTTCACATCCAAGTACAGACTCCTTTCCCTCCAGAAATAAGACCATACACTCCCCCTGGAAAAAAAAAAACGCATGAATACATTTCATACAGAAAGGAAAAGGATGGGTAACACACGGCGCCACAGATCTGAAGATCATGGTTCCGTGGCACATAAAAATAAAACTACTGACCCCAGAGATTCAAAGAAAATATACTCTTTTTTTAAGATTTTGTTCATTTATTCATGAGAGGTAGAGAGAGAGAGGCAGAGACACAGGCAGAGGGAGTAGCAGGTTCCTTGAAGGGAGCCCAGTGCAGGACTTGACCTCAGGACCCCGGGATCATGACCTGAGCCTAAGGCAGATGCTCAACCACTGAGCCACCCAACTGTCCCCAGAAAGAAAGTATATTCTTAACTTGATTCCAAGACTCCCTTGGGAATTCTGAAATTTCTTCTCAGAAATCAACAAAATTATTATTTATCTTTTTTTTCTTTTTGGCTTCATTCCCAAGTTTTAAATTTATCATAAGACAATTTTGATCATCCAGGTCAGCTCAAAATCAAAATTTCATTCATTCACTTGCATTCATGTTTACAATGCCTTTATATTTACAATACCTAATATACTTTCATTGTTGCAAGCTAAGGAGAACTTTAAAAAGCAGACTTTACTATAGAAATGATGCAGTCACAACCAAAAGGTCAGCATCATGGTTCACTGGGCCCATGAGGAATTGGGGAGTAGTCAATGAGAGCAAAGTGGTGGGTGACCTCAGTTATTTATCACAGTTAACTCAAATTATACAAATCTACAAATTTGGGCTTCCCAAATTTGGAGTATCTAAGAACCACCTGACAGGCATCTGGCACATACACAGGTAAATTTCTCTCTCTCTTTTTTTTTTTTTTAAGATTTATTGATTGATTTGTGAGGTAAGAGGCAGAGGGAGAAGGAGAGAGAGAATCTTTAAGCAGACTCCTCAGTGAGCAGGGAGCCTGACATAGGGTTCGATCTCACCACCTGGAGATAGCACCCTGAGCTGAAATCCAGACTCAGCCACTTAACCAACTGAGCCACCCAGGCACCCCCACAGGTGAATTTCTTAAAAGAAGATGTACTGTAATCTTAATATTTTTCCAATAAGTATTTAAAGCAGCACAGTGGTTTTGTCAGTGAGGGGGAGAGAAGATAACATTTGTGATCTTTCCCCAAAGTGTCTTTGTCTACCTTGATGTTGGATGGCCTGTGCTATAGGTGAGTTACTTTTTTTTTTAAGATTTTATTTATTTATTCATGAGAGACACACAGAGAGAGGCAGAGACATAGGCAGAGGGAGAAGCAGGCTCCCTGTGGGACTTGATCCCAGGACCCCAGGATCACGACCTTAGCTGAAAGCAGACGCTCAACCACTGAGCCACTCAGGTGCCCTAGTTGAGTTACTTTTAAAGCAACGCAACTTTTCTTGCCTGAATCTAGAAAGCATTGCCTCAATAACTGAAGGGAGATGGCAAGTGAAAAGAGCTCAGACACTAGAGAATGCTGAAAAGAAATCCTGAAGCTGCCCTAGCATCTAGGAGCCCACCACAGTAGGAACAGAAACTTCACTTAAGTTTGGGGTAATCAGAGAGCAGAGAGAACTTGGGCTCCCTTTCTTAGGCTAAGACAACACCAGGACCCCATAAGAAAAATGAACACATGAGGACCAGTTCCCAAGCCACAAAGTAACAAGGAAGTGACAGGATAATTTTGTGAAGCTGAAAGAGGCCCTAAGTAGCCTGAGTTTCGATAACACCACAAAACATCCCATAGCCCCATTTGACAAAGCAGCAGCAGAACCCTCGCAGGCAGCGGGCCTGAGAATGGCACAGAAATTAGCCGAGGGAGAGGAAGGACTTGACTGGAAAGAGCTTGCAGCCAGAAATGAGGGACAAAGCAGGGCCCTACATGGATCTACCGCAAAATGCTCCAAGTCTCCGCGATGCCCTGTAGCCTGCTGACAACACAGGCCAGGTGCTCCACCCATGCCGAGACCCCATAATGGGGTTATTCCCAAATTTTAACATGCTCAGAGTTCCCTTAGGGAGCTGGCTAGCATGCGGGTTTGGATTCAGCAAGTCTGGGGCGGGGACTAAGAATCTACATTCTTAACAACTTCTCAGGGATGTTGATACTGCTGCTCTGGGGACCACACTTGGAGAATCACTGCTAGGATGCCTCCTAACCCCCTAGTTTATGTGACACCCAGCTTATGGAGGAAACTCCACACGAGGAAACTCCCAGCATAATGGAGATCGTACTAGGAGTATACTTACAGGGAACTAGTCACACTGCTCGCACACCTGTATACGGGAACTAAAATCTGAATCCATCAGCAAGAGTGGGGCAAATGGCTTTCTTGATCTCCCTTTGGTTATTTTCTTCTCCAGAAAACATCACTTCCTAATCTATTACAACATTGAATATAATTCTCAAATATACCCAGTAACATATTAAGGATTTATTTCTTCAACACTCAATGAAAAAGAGGTCATTAGGTGTTAGAACTCACTGTCTAGTGTATTCAAATAAATTATATTAGACAGGATAGCAGTGATTCTTCTAAAATACATCATAATAGGTCACTTTCCCATCAAAAATTCCTCAGAGGCTTCCTATGTCATTCAGGTAACATTTACAGGTCACCACACTGTGGCCAGCAAGGCTGTATGTGGCCTGGGGTCCAGACACCCCCTGTCTTCTTCTATAATCCCCAGCACACTCACTCTTCCCTGATATATTGACTGATCTACTGCTCCTTGCGAAGTCGAAAGACTTCCATAAACATCTTAGGACCTTTGTGTGCTATTCCCTCTGCCTGGAATAGCAGCTCTTTCCCTTGCTTCCTTGGGGTCTCTACCCAGATAACCCCTCCTCAGAGGGGATCTCCCTCTTTACTGTTAGAACATAGCTCCTTCACCTTCTTCCTCACTCACTCTCCATCGGCTTCACTCCTGTTTTTTCCTTCCCATCATTTTTCATAATGTGACATATTCTATTCTTTTAATTTTTCGATTTTCTTCTGGAAGGTAAATTCCATGAAGAAGGAAATTTGCTTTGTTTACTGCTAGATCCCCAATAACTAGAAAGTGCATGGCACTTAAAATCACTCGGTAAATAATTGTCAAACAAATGTGCAAAAAGGCCTGTAGGCCAAAAGAAACAACAACCCTACTCCTTCAAATACCCTCCGAGGCAGAAGGGAAAGTCTCCTGGCCAAGCTGGTACCCCCAGTTACTTTCATGCCCACTTTTCCCTTCCTCTCTCACCCTCAGACACTCCCCCATCAGCACTAAAGAAGACATACACATGTGCTGTCTGCAAGGGTGAGCAAACTGCAAAATGGAAAACCAAAGGCAAAGAGAAAAGTCCTTCTCCACCACAGGCATCCTGACCTCAGGTAAGGATACAAAGAATGGCCTGTGATCCCACAGCATCAAGGACCACAGCTCACATTTGGGTAGATAAATGTGCTTCTAGACATTTTTATAGGCATGGATACATAAGCATATCAATTGCTTTTTTGACTTTCAATATAGACTTAATTCCAGACAAAGATCTCTAGGAGTGAATTCAAAGTCGTTAGATGAAATCAATGGAAGAGATAGGAATGCGGCAGTAGAAGAGGCTCACACTTAAAATTTTCCCTAGGCTTTCCAGAAGCTGAGAATTTCTCTGTTCCAAGGTCTACAACCATAATTCTTTATGACAATAATGTGTTTAGATAAGTGATTCAAAGAATCACAAATTTTTTACATTCTCAGCTTTTATCAGAAGTATGGAAGTGCCACAATTTAGCACTGTGATCATCATCTTCTTCCTTGGAGACTTTTGAGAACTTAATGAGTTAGTCCTTTGGCATGAGTACAGAGTTCAGATTGAAAGAATCCTTCCAATGCATCACATTAAAATTTACTCTAAGTAAATTTTACTCTTCTAACATTTGGACTTTAAAAAGAAGATTGTTTCTGAATCAAAACAACACATCACATTAAAATTTATTCTAAGTGTTTTTTAACACTTGGACTTTAAAAAGAAGATTGTTTCTGAATCAAATGTATCTTCTTGTTTCATGCAATGATAAATTTCTACAGCTACTCCCTAGGTTACACTTCAATGAAACCAAAGATCCAGAGAGGCCACAGGAAGAAGGTTGAAGTGACTTCCAATTTAAAGTCATTAGGAGTTCAGGAAAAGCAACCTTTCTGGATGTCAAAGTTCTACAGTCTCAAGTTTTGAGTTCACCAATGCGGAGCACTGTTGTACAAAGTGGTACCAAGACATTTCACTTACCAGGATGTTGCTTTTTCCTCTTTTTCTCCTGCTTTCTCTTCATATTCTCCATCTATTCCTACCACAGAGAAGATACATAGAAAGTTTTTAGTAACTTTTGTAAAAGAATGAATGAATCAACATATTTAGATGTCCAGCAGAAATCCCACTACTTCTGTTAATTTTTTTAATAATGTTTGCTCTTGTTATCTTTTTTAACATTTATTTATTTATATGATAAATAAAGAACACAGAACACAAGTGAGGGGGGCCAGAGAGAAAGAACACAGAACACAAGTGAGGGGGGCCAGAGGGAAAGAACCTTCAAGCAGGCTCCCTGCTGAGAGTGGAGCCATACCCTGGGCTCGATCCCATGACCCATGAGATCATGATCTGAGCTGAAACCAAGAGCCAGATGCGCAACCAACTGAGCCATCCAGGTGCCCCTGCCTTTGTTTTCTTATTAATTCATGATTTAAAAATATTAAGGGGGTTTCCCTGGGTGGTGCAGCGGTTTGGCGCCTGCCTTTGGCCCAGGGCGCGATCCTGGAGACCCGGGATCGAATCCCACATCGGGTTCCCGGTGCATGGAGCCTGCTTCTCCCTCTGCCTATGTCTTTGCCTCTCTCTCTCTCTCTCTCTCTCTCTCTCTCTGTATGACTATCATAAATAAATAAAAATTTAAAAAAATAAATAAATAAAAATATTAAGGTATAATTATTTTTCTAGTAGCCTTTCCAGTGGATAGCAGCATATGGTGGGAAGATTACAGGCTTTCAAATATAGATAGGAATTTGAATCTTGCCCTCACTATTTCTTGTGTCCTTAGACAAGTTGTCCAACTTTCTTTCACTTCAAATTTCTTGTTTGTGAGATAACAATAATAACACATATTTTGTGTTGGGAGAGACAATTCTCCATGAGTCTCTTATACTCACACTTGGCACGGAGGGTATGCCAAGAATGCAGGGCCGAGGCAGTTTCTCAGAGTTGTACTTGCACCAAGCAACCCTGAGGGATGAGGTAATGTCTCCCTCCAGAACAAAGGGCATGATTATTCACTACTTGCTATAAAAATGGTAGTAGATTCCCCATTTATGGTACAAAACAACTGTGGGCATAGTATCCATCTGGACCCCTACTGGCTTACCTTGTTGGACCTTGAGTCATAAATGGATCTGGCACAAAATGATGGTGCTCATGCTTTTTGCTGCAACATGAGTAAAAAAATCTTTTGTCTCTCACCTAGGAGTCTCATCTGCAAGCATCAGAAATAAAATATGAATACACACTGGACAATCCAGTTTCAACATTAACAGATTAATTTACTAGCTTATAGTTTGGGTAGAATAAAATCCCATACCTGACACTTCACAGGGCTGTTTAAAGATTAAAAGAGACCACCAAAATAAAGCATGTGAAACAGGGTTGGCAATAAATAAATATGCACAAAACGTATGTTCCTTTTAACATCTTATTTAAATTTCTTTTAACTATTTTAGGAAAGAGCTCTTAACAAAATTGTGATAATAGTGATGTTGCTCTTTTACCTCTCTTCACTTTTCCCATATAATCTATCTGGTATCTCTCCCAAATGTAGTGGTAAAGGAATCCCATTCTCCTGGAAGGGTTTACAGCAGGTTCCTCTCTGGAGATATAAGTGCTTGTAAGAGGGGGAAATGCTTGAAAACTGAAGAAAATGCAAGTCATGGATCTCTAATAATGGACTTTGAGACCTGGAGTGGCAGTAGGGGCCTGGGGACATGGAATCACATCTACACTCTTGAAATCCTAACACTACTTGCCATATTCATCACCTTTCCATCCCAATATTGGATCCTCTGAACTTCACATCAGGGGAGAGGAAGGAAGGAATTTTAGAAACAGAGTTTATGCCAAAAGATAAAAGTATTTTCTGATAACTGGGAAGATTTAGATGATGCAGAGGAATGTAAAAAAACAGACTCTATATTGAATGCTTGTAACCTGGTCTGTACCTCCAAACATATCCAAGACGTGTCTTGCTCTCTGTACTAGTTTCCTATTTCTGCTGTAATCAGTTCATGACTTTTTTCTGTGGGCCAAAAGCCTAACATAGGTCTCATCAGGCTAAAATCAAGGTGTTGGCAGCCTGCATTCCTTTCTGGAGGCTCTAGGAGAAGAGATGTTTCCTTGCCCTTTCTAGCTTCTAGAGACCACTTGCATTTCTTGGCTCATGGTCCCTTTTCCCCATTCTTGAATGGTCAAGTTCTCCCTACACTGTCATTTCTTTGGTTCTTTGTAGCCAGAAGGGTCTCTGCTCTTAAAGATTCATGTGATCACATTCAGTTCACTGGGATAATCCAGGATTATCTCCATTCTAAGATCTTTAATCACATCTGCAAAGAGCCTTTTACCATGTAAAGCAACATATTCACATGTTTAGACAGGAGGGGATTAGGACCTAGACTAGGACTTTGGAGTGGGACATTATTCTGCCTACCACGCTATACTTGAAGAAACCTCACAAGATTTGGTCATTCTTAATGTTGTTCAATATGACCATTTCCTAGAATGTTAAAAGTTTTCTAAATGTGAAAAATCTCTGCCATGATGAGGAGAATGAACAGCACTAAGCGACAGGGTATCTTTAATTTTGTTTCAAATTCTACATTTATCAGAAAAAAATGATCAGAGGAGTGCTCCTGAAATTCTAAGGGAAGCCACTCAGTGTGTATAACTGTGGTGATGGGAATTCCAAGAAGAATGTTAGTTTATGTGAGAGCAGAAGAAACCAAAGTCTTGGCCCACACAGTGAACCTCTGGGTTGCAATGTGTAGAGTCTGTGTGGAAACATCCAAATTGTTTTTTCCTGAAACTTCAGGAATGTCTGAAATGACTCCTGCCCATGAGATATTTCTGAATACTGTGATATTGTTGGTGGGGGGGTGCAATTAAAGTGATATGACAGTGTGCAGATCCTTATCTGAGAGGGGGCAAAACAACCAGTAGTAGAAAGTGTGTATCCACTTCATAGATGAGAATAGGTGTTAAATTCTAACTCAGAATCATTTATTTAAAATATTTGCTAAGCAGCTCCCTATGCAGAAAAAAATAAAAATAAAAACAAAATAAAAAACTTACTATGGTAGATGCTCTGGATTGAGGATGAATTAGCCAAGAAGCCAACCCTTAGGGAATTTGCACCCCAACAACAGAGATAAGAAACAATTATTCAGTGGAGACTGAAGAGAAACAGTAGGTCTCTAGAGTAGTGCTTCTCAAACTTTCATGTGTCTACATGTCTTTTTTAAAATGCAGATTTAGTAGTTCCAAGGGAAGGGCTGAAATTCTGCATTCCTGACAAGCTCCCAAGTAATGATGGTGCCAATGCTACTGGTCCAAGGACCACACTCTATAAACAGCAACGGTCTAGAGTAGTATTTCTAAAACCTCACTCTTCTTAATCACCTGGGGAAATTTTACAAACAAAAGATGCCCTTGCTCTTCCCATGGAGCATCGGTTGTGAATAGAGAGTAAGACCCAGGCATCAGTATTTTGATTTTATGTGCAGGTAACCACTGAGTACTATTAATACAGAACTTTTCATCATAGCTATTAAAAAATCTTAGGCAATAGTTCTCAAAGTGTGGGCCTCAGACCAACAATATCAGCATCACCTGAGAACTGGTCAGAAATCTAATTCCTAGCCCCCCCCCCCCTCAGGCCTACTGAATCAGAAACTCTGGGGATGGGGGCCCCCAGAATCTCTGGAGATTTTGGGTTTTTTTTAAGATTTTATTTATTTATTCATGAGCAACACAGAGACAGAGGCAGGCACATAGGCAGAGGGAGAAGCAGGCTCCATGCAGGGAGCCCAATGCAGGACTTGATCCCAGGACTCCGGGATCACACCCTGAGCCAAAGGCAGATGCTCAACAACTGAGCCACCCACGTCCCCCCAAAATTTCTGTTTTAACAAATATACCAGGTGATTTTTTTTTGAGAAAGAGGGGGGGGGTAGAGTAGGGGTTGGGAGGGAGGGCATTGGGAGGGAATCCTAAGCAGACTCCATGCTCAGCACCGAGCCTGATCTGGGGCTCATGACGCTGAGATCGTGATGGAAATCAAGGGTGGGCTGCTTAATCAACTGAGGCACCCAGATGCCCCCTACCAGGTGATTCTAATGCAAAATAAAGTTTGAGAATCACAGATCTAGGGCACCTGTCTCTAATCAGATGTGCATGTTAGAATCACCAGGAGAACATTTCAAACCTACAGATGCCCTACCCCCATCCAGTTTCGGAATTAGTTAGTCTGGGCTGGAGTTCTGAGCCAGGTATGATTGAAAACATCCACAGGTGGTAACTCTAATGTGTCCCCAGACCAAGAACTCCCGTTGCAGGGTATTAGCCAGAAAAATTCTCTCCTCTTCTCATTTATTTATTCATTTCTTCTACACATGTTCCAGAGCAACCACCCAATCTTCACCACAAAAGAGCTTGGAAGTGGGAAGCAACACAAAATGGGGAATAAACCAGATGGACAAGATGAGCTCAGTGGTGAGAGCCCAAGAGCAGAGAAGACAAGCCAGCAGGAGAGATTAGAGGCCAGTACAACAGCCTGGGCCTCCCTCCCCCATTTCTAAACTTAACCTATATAAGTGAAGAGACAAGAAAAGAAAATCAGAATACTTTCCTACCAGAAGAACCCTGACCAGTGACTGTCAGCCACGAGTTTGCCACTTTTGCTGACATCCATTTTTGCATGTAATCATTATGTTCCTGTTTAACAGTGTTCATTACCCCCCTTTCTAAAGTGTACTGTGGGTTAGTTAGTACTCATAAGTTTTAGAATGTTGGGGTGCAGGACGCCTGGGTGGCTCAGTGGTTGAGCATCTGCCTTTGGCTCAGGGTGTGATCCCCAGGTCTTGGGATCAAGTCCCACATTGGGCTCCCCACAGGGAGTCTGCTTCTCCCTCTACCTATGTCTCTGCCTCTCTCTCTCTCTCTCTCTCTCTCTCTCTCTCATGTAATCTCATCATTTGCAGATTGACAAGTAGAGAGAAGAGGAATCACAGAGAAGTTTCCTATCAATTAAGGCCTTGTGCTGAGTATCCCTGAAGAACAGTCAAAAGGTAGCAGCCCCTAAGCCTTTTCCCTGGTGACAAAAATGAACTATAGCATCCTTTATCAAGAACTCCTGTCTCCACCCTGGAAACTGAGTGAACTTTTTGCTTTAACATAGCTCCCATCAAGCAGTAAGCTTCACAGAACGTGTGCCAAGAGAGGCTTCTAGTCTATCTTGAAGCAAACAAAGTATAGGCCTAAGAAAAATTCTTCCAGCAGTACTCTTAGCTTAATATGCATGGTAAACTGTGGAAGAAGTACCAGCATAGAAAACTGTTTGAAATCACAGAAAGAGCTAAAAGAGCAATTGTAATGTTTTCTGTGAGATGTATATACAGGATCAGCAAGCTAGGGAAATGCATACCAGCTCCTGCAGGGACTGTAGGCTACACATGTGTGTCATGTATTCAGGCTGGATTCCATAAGAAAAATCTCCTCAAGAGAGTGTGCCGTTCAACCTCATCCACATAGAGCCTAAAAGCAACCCAGGCTGTCATATCACTTACCATGATGACTCATATGCAGTAGAGCCAAGAGAGCATAATATGTCTCAAAGGTCAGAAAAGATTCCCAACAACACAGGAAGGGTATATTTTAGGGAATTGAGGGAATACCACACAATATGCAGGATGAAGCCAAATTATAAAGTTGTTTTTTAAAGGGCTTTCAAATGCTACATAGGATACACTGCCAGCTTCCTGATGAATAATAAATAGAGCTTCACATTTTTGTGCAAAGACATACTCATTTCAAAGATTGTTTCTTGTATTACCAATACCTGTCAGTACAACAGAATGTCTAAGAGTATGGACACCTCAGCCAACCTACCTGAGTTTGATTCCTGACTGCTACATAATAGGCATAGAGCCTTGTGCAAGGTCCTATTTCTCTCATCTTGAAAATGGGTATAACATGGGCAGCTCCAGTGGCTCAGCAGTTTAGCACCGCCTTCAACCCAGGGCATGATCCTGGAAACCCGGGATTGAGTCCCACGCCAGGCTCCCTGCATGGAGCCTGCTTCTCCCTCTGCCTGTGTCTCTGCCTCTCTCTTTCTCTCTCTGTGTGTCTCTCATGAATAAATAAAATCTTAAAAAAAAAGAAAA